ATAAACTGATCACATCTAAATTAGCACACAAAGAGAGATTGACCTCCATAAGGTATTTCTTAAGCCACTTTTATTTTACTTAACTGTTTGTATTTCCGGCAATAAAATTAATTTTATTACAAATTTCGTTTCATTTCTCTTGCCAATAAGGCCTTTCTTTCTTGATAACATGTACGTGTATGTTTCTCCAACTATCATCGTCATCGCCTACATAACCGTCTGACAACATCACTCGACGAAGCCCACAACAATTGCAAGTTCGGTAACGTCCATGTCTACTATTCATCTACTGTAAGTAAAATATATTCTTAGTAATGCTAAAACGCCTGTAGTGAACTCTTTGCAAAATTTTGCGTTATAAATAATTTCAACAGTTCGACGTGGTGTAATGCTTTTAGCCTTGTGACAATCTAAGCTACGCTTAGAAAATCACCATAAATAGCCTGTTTCAGAAGTGCAAACTTCGCACTTGGACTGATTGGGAAGTTTTCATTTTGGCACGCAAATCTTCTGTTCATCCATGTGTGCTTGATAATACTGCTCTCAATGTTCCAGATATATCTGACTATAGGATGATAAGAACCAAGATTAAGACGATCTTTTCTTGTTCAAAGAATCAGAAGGACTTAAGTATGGCGTTGAAAAGTTTAATAACCCAGATGTCAGGAATTTCTTTTAAATAGCAACAACTTTTCTTATTTTTCGGAAGTGCTCGACTCTGGAACGTTATACAACAACTTTAATTTCGCAATCAAGAATGCAACTGTTATAAGATAAAATAAGACATATCTCGGCTGATTTACAGGCAAATACTCAAGAGCGAGAACCGGATGTAAACGGGACAAAGCCCCGTCACAAAATGACCATTATCTTTCTTTACAAATGTTCCCGACACGTGTTCCGGTCGAAAAATAAAATAATATTTAAAGTGCTCTATTTTTCGTCCAATAAAAATGCTTCCCTCCTAATTATACTCGCTTCGTTTTTCGAGACTGTTAAGCCATAAAAAAACGCTATAAAAGGGGTCACACAGAAGTTCAACAGGCAGTCCACAGGTGCCCAGGATAGAGACCTGTCACTTTTCAGCTGCTGACGGCAGGGGAGTGTCAACCACCGTCAACATGTGTGAACTACTATGAGAGGTTGACCTAGATCAGAAACCGGCTTATGAACTTTACCACAAGGTAGCTGTCCCGAACCCACACGTTCCTGTTGAAATAAACCACGTAAATCTATTTCTACTGTTGTCGTATTTCTTTCTTGCAACCATACGCTTGTCTATAACACAACCCACAATAATCTAATATCCAAAGAAAAATGAATATAAAAAAAATGCAATATGCCATAACAAACAAACAAACATAAAATCAAAAAGGAAACTGGACCCTCATCAATTCAATAACATTGCTGAAACGAAAAACAATCAAGAAAAACACGCTAAAGAAAGTTGAAAAAGATACTGAATCTCTGAGACAACCCCGGCCATATAAACTTTATAAACAATACTATGCTACACTGAAAAAGTTAAAAAAAACAACTAACAATATAAGTTGGGGTATGAAGGATCATGAAAGTAACATCACGACTAGCAAAAATTATATCCTTGAGCACTGGGCCAAATTTTATAACGAATTTATTACACCTTTTAAACTGCATACTAATCATGTTTTTGTTTTTTTTAATTCATTATTGTTACCTTTAAAAAGGATAATCGTCTTGAAAGTTGAACCATGTCTGTAAGCGTTTCATATAGGCACATAAAAGACGATTTTTATTCCTGTTTTCCAGAATCTCAACCTGTCTAAGGATGATTGAGCAATTAATTACTTTAGAACAAATTATCGAAAAATCTGTAGTTTCACAATCCGCTGTACATAACCTTTGTTGTGAAAGGAAGATGTAGTAGAAGAAGATAACAAGACTTAATAACCATTTGCATAGATTTCAATAGCAAATAAATACGCACATTACATTAAAACACAAATGATGTTTTCTTAACAGGAAGGGCAGGTGCCCCTAGGGTACAGTAGAGAATCTGCCGGGTACTACTAATCTAGAAGAGGTCACGATTTAAACTACATTTTCCCCTACATGAAATAATTATGAAGTGTATGTGGTGTGTAACGCAACAATTCAACTGATGATAGCAGGTAGAAAAACCGGTGTCGCACGTCCAACCTTCTCACGAGCTGAAAGCCCTCTGATCTGAAACAGCAAAAACGAGCCTGCTTTATACAGCCGCGGACCGACCACGATTTGCATGCGAATCACGAGGCAACGAGATTTCGCGTTAACTAACCGAGACCGCCCGGCATAAAACGTGGGCGCCGCCATTTTGGTTTTCTTTTTACCGTTGGAAGGACCAGAGTTTGCATACTGCGCAGATTCGAACGCGTTTCCGAGGTAAGCCATTTTCACAATTTTCCCCACACTCCCCCCTGATCTCATGATCACAAACAGGGCAGGGAGGTGGCGATCGTCGCCGTCGAGTCCCTCTCCGAAGGGGGATAACACAAGCTTCATCCTCGTGCGTGTTCTCGTCTGTGGTTTGAGTGTCGGTAAACACTGTGTCCACCGGGAGGCTGCTGTTATCAGAATCACTGCCCTGCAGGTCTAACTCAAGGCAGATTGAACGCTCACTACTCCCAGACTCGGAATCGCTTTCATCGCTCGGTAGCGGTAGTGATTGCGTCACCGGTCGCAAGTCTTTAATGTGACGAGGCACCCCATCAACTCTCACAGATTGCGGGCTGATAACCTCCGTAACACGTCCAGTGCCGTACTTTGTCGTACACTTGCCGCGTGGGTTTTTGACCCAAACAACGTCTCCTTTTTTCAATCTCCCTCCAGTCACTTCTAGTTCAGGCAGCGGGTTGGCTTCGATGCCTTTCACGCGGACATGATATTTGTGCAGTGCATCAGCCGGCGCCGTGGATGGTGAAATGTTATCTTTCGGGGCGACATTATACCAGTAAACCGCTTCCGATACTGTACAGCCCTTCCTGGCTGCGATGGTCTTGATGGTTCTGTGGTTCCGCTCCACGATGCCGTTTCCACTTGGCGAGTAGGCACATCGAAACCGCAGATGCACGTCCCAAGTGTCCGCAAATTCTTTAAAATCTTTACTGGTGAACGCAGTATCGTTATCCGTCAGTATTTCCACGGGTGGGCCTCGCTCCAGGAAAACATTCTCCAACAGTCGAATGACGGTGCTCGCGTCTTGTCTGCGCAGCGGCTGCCATACCGCAAACCTGGAGGGACCGCAATCAATGAGTGTTAAAAAATTCTCACCATTGTAGTGAGTTATGTCCATTGCCAGTCTGCTCCAGTTGCTCTTCACGCTCAGTTCTCCTCTTTCCCAGTGAACGGGTGCCGAATCGATCGACTGACAGGTTGTGCAGGCCTTCACAGCGGATTTAACGCTTTCTCTGGACACCTGCGGGTCGACTAACCTGGCGAAGTACAGAGTTCGTTTCACGCCCGGATGTCCGCATTGACGATGCGTATTGGCAACCTGGTCCTCATCCAGTCGTCTCCCCTGCCACTGCACAGCTCTCGAGTGCCGGTTCTCCTCTCTTGAGCAGTTCTAGCCACCTGTGCGGTACTCTGGTGAGGCGATCCGCACGGTTCTGACAGGACTGCACGAGTGTCACGTCTACGGTCAATCCATATTCTTCCACCAGCGATCGCAAAATGCCCAGCCGTCGCCTGACCAGCATCTCACCAGCCGCCCTTGTGTGCACCCGTGCCTTCCCGGTCAAGGTGTCTGAAATCCACCGGTGCACACACGCCGAATCAGTAACCAAGTGCAACGTTGTCGCCTCCCACTGGAGAGCTAGATTCACTCCTTTAAGCGCCGCATCGAGTTCAGCCAAATTAATATGCCTGGCATCATTAGTCGGACGCAGCCAGCACGCATCTTCGATGACATTTCCGTTTACTTCCAATGCCACTCCTGTCGCCACGGAACTCGCATCCACCCAGACTGTGATCTCGTCACCACTCATGCACCAGTCTCCTCCGACGGGATCCAGTCCCGCACTCTACTTAACATCTCTGCTAGTATGCGACAGATAGAGGGATCTTTGATGTTATCATCCCATCCATTGGTTGCTGCGGTTGCCAGGCGCTTGACGAATGCAACTGCCACCCTGAGCCATCCACACACTGGGAAGTGTCCAACAAGTTTCCCACACAATGAAAATACGCGCCGCCGGGTCAACACATCAGGGGCTTCCGGAATTTGACTTCCTCGTTTCCATCGGAGGGTGCCATTTTCTTCCCAGACTTGCAAGCCAAGAACTCTTGCTCCATCTCTCAGTCGCACCGGATCCTTGCACACCAAACCGTAATCCGAAAAGTGTTATCTTACACGCGATGCAGAGGCCAAACTTTCATTAATGAAGATATCATCAACGTATGCTGATGTGGCACTTTCAATTGTGCGGTCTTGCGATGCGATGGCGTCTATAACGGATTTCATAATGAGTGGCGCTACATTTAGCTCAAATCCTAGCCGCGTAAGACAGAAGCGTTGGCCTTTGAAAATAACCGTTTGAAATGGCCACAGCGCTTCGTCGATGTGAATCTGAAGATATGCGTTCCACAGATCCAGAAGCGACACATTGACTCCCTGCCGCCGCCACGTTCTCAACTTATGTGCGCACACTTCTGCATCGGCAGTGAAAGCATCCACAAAGTCGTTCAATTCGCGGTAATCGAGTACCGGACGCACCTTCTGTTTCTGCTCCTGCACGACCGCCATCAAGGGAATCAGACCCTTTGGGGGTCCCAGTCTTTCCTGGGGGTACGGAATCAGCCAGCCGTTCGCAATCCACTGCTGAAGCTCTTTCTCGTATTTTCCTCTGATGCTGTCGGGAACCTTGTACTCTGCGACCTTGTTGCGAAGCTGAACTGGCGGGTCTTTTTGGGCCCATTTCCACCTGGCGGTCCACACCCTCTCGTCGGAATTGAAGGAGACGTCGAAATCCGGCTCACTAATGCAAAGGGCTGCACACACCTTTCTTCTTTCACCCAGTTCCACATTTCCGGCTGGCGTGATCATCATGCCTCCTAACGCTCGGATCGCATCAATCCCAAGTAGCAGGTCGTACACGAGGGGCCTTTGACGTGCCACCAAGACGTCGACTTTGGCATGACTCCCTCCGTCTGTTAGAACTGACACAGTCACGACACCACAACAGGCCCGGGACACCCCGTCAATCGTCCGAATCTCGACTGTTCCATGTCACGCTTCGATCCGCACTAACGATCGATCGGGAACATCCAGTGTCAACGAGCGCCGAACATCGTTTACCCTCAACGTACACGTTGACAACAGGCAATGCCGCATATACTGACCGAGAGGGGGCAAGGGTTGCGACAGCACCTTGTCCCCGGACTCATTTCCCGAGCAATCCTGTGCTACATGGCCTAACTCTTTGCAGCGATAGCAGCGTAGTCGTGCTCGGTTCCGTCTGCTGCTCCCTCCTACGTCACTTCGGCTCCGGCAGTCCCTAGAGAAATGGTTGGGTCCACCGCACTTGTAGCACTTTGGGCCCTCCCTCGGTGTCTCAGGCGTTCGCACGGCTGCCGCGACCTGTTCCGTGTCCTTCAAGATGTTTCGGGCCCTGGCTAGCAATTCGTCAATTCCCAGTGTGTCCAATCTTGAAGACGCTCGCAGGAGCCGACTGGTGTCGTCAGGGAAGCCCTGCCAGGAAGGCGCACCCCAGTATGCGGTCCGTTGCTCCGCCAAACGGTACTGCCAGCCTTCGCAAATCAGCCAGGTAAACATCCACGGTCTCACCCGGCTCGAGCCGTCGTCCGACGAACTGTTTCCAAGCGATGAAGGGGTCTATTCCAAAGGCCGTATACAGGGCGTCCTTGATCTCTTCTAGGTCAGCATCGTCCCCAAGTTGTTGATATACTGCGTAGGCTCCTCCCGTGAGTCTCAGTGGGATGACTAGTGCAGGTTCCTTTATTTTGGACACCCTGCAAACACGTTCGGCTTTTTCAAACCATTCGACGATAGTCGGGCCCGTGGGGGAGCCGTCGAATTCTGGGATCAATTTTAGATCGAACTTGTCCATTGCCGAAATAGCTTGTGGTGTGTAACGCAACAATTCAACCGATGATAGCAGGTAGGCACAAAGAAAACCGGTGTCGCACGTCCAACCTTCTCACGAGCTGAAAGCCCTCTGATCTGAAACAGCAAAAACGAGCCTGCTTTATACAGCCGCGGACCGACCACGATTTGCATGCGAATCACGAGACAACGAGATTTCGCGTTAACTAACCGAGACCGCCCGGCATAAAACGTGGGCGCCGCCATTTTGGTTTTCTTTTTACCGTTGGAAGGACCAGAGTTTGCATACTGCGCAGATTCGAACGCGTTTCCGAGGTAAGCCATTTTCACAATTTTCCCCACAGTGTAGAAGTTATTAGTCCTCCATCCAGTTACAACATTTCTGTATTTGTTGGGAATTCTTCGTATTTTGAAAGATTTTCGCACAGATTCAATGGGATCTTCACCCTCAGAATCAATTCCACAGGGTGTGTTGCTTCCTTTAGACGATGGAGTCTCTTCGTTTTCGCTGGCAGAACTTTCATAAACATTAACATGATTCGCAGACATCTACGAGGTTAGCAGAGTTGTCATTAGTGCAAGTGACCTCTGCATTAGTAGATTTGGGAGCTATGTCTCGCACATTGACTGTAGTTTCAACGCCGGAAGGTAGACGTATATGTGCACAGAGAGGATTGATTTCCAGAAGTTACTTAACTTAGTGTGTGGTTCCTTACGTATATCAGTCCTGCTTTTGCCCAAGAGGGAATCGAGGTTCTGGATGTGGATTTACGGCTGTATTTAAATAATCTGTCATGGGTTACATTAGTTATTGTGTAGAGTAAGGATTTAATTGAATGGAGTGCATCTGGTAGGACGTTTTCCCAATAGGATGGTTTCATATTACGAGAATGTAAGGTTACCTGAATACCTTTTCATAGGAAAAAGACATTGCTACATCAAAAACAAGTAGATACCATCCTAAAAGCAGTGGACAAGTTGAAAAATTAATGGCATCATATGGAAGGCTACCATTAAGTTTTTCAACTTGTTCATTACTTTCTGGATGGTATTTTTAACGAAGAAAGGTGTGAACAGCTAAGACAATGAGGAACAAAGGCAGAGGTTTAGAATAACAAACGTCGGATTTATTTGTCGATCTGGACAAATGTAGGTACAGGAATTCAGTGGCGTAGCTAAGGAGTGGGGGGCGAGGGGCCGGACTGCCCCGGGTGCCAGCACAGGAGGGGTGACACAATGTCACCCCCAACAAAATTTTTCAACCAGGCTAAGGTGCCAAAATAGTCTGAAAACAGTGGTGGAGACACAGGGTTTCACAGGCGGGCATATCAGCTCCCAGAAATAATTTATGACCCACCCAGTTTTGCCCCCCCCCTCAGAAATTTTCTAATAAATTGTCGGGAAATGTGTGAGTAGGAAAAATAGCAATGTTTTCAGCTTTCATGTGTTTCAATTGCTACAATCTTGGTTACTAACAAGAGACATTGTTGTAACGTTTTATCGGATGATATGGTGTTTTAACTCTGAATCATCAATAACAACAAAGCGAAATACGAAGCCAAAAGTGCAACAATTTCAGTCTTGCCTGTGTATCAATTCGCTGTGTACCGACCACCGAGCGCCCCCGTATCACAAAAGGGTGATGAGGTCACGAGAGGCCCGCTAGCATTTTAGAGGACGTTAAATCTGACAAAGTGTAACAATATAGACGACAGAACGAGGATATATATGATATATGCTAATTTATTCTAGAAAAAGAAATAAAGGTGGTCGGAAGGGCAGAGGTGCAGAAGTTGTAGTGCAGACATTGATGGTCGAGGTTGGTTGTTACAGATGATCGCTGATGGTCATGCAGGTGGTCGCTGCGGGTCGTTGCAGGTGATCGCTGTAGTTGAAGTTGATGTTGGTCGTTGCCGGGATGATCATTGTTGGTTGTTGCAGTTGATGTTGGTCGTGGCCGTAATGTTGGCTGTTGCAGTTGATGTTGGTCGTGGCCGGGACGCCAGCTTGACGTGTTGGGAAGGAAAGAAGAGCTGGCGTTGTTCGGGAATGTCACAGGTCCAGTGCAGGCGTTGCATGTTTGCCGGTCGAGTCCGATATTAGTAACCTCCCGTATTAATTACAAACGTACGGGAAAGGTTATGGACGATGTGCGGGCAGCCAGTAGGGACGGAATGCCGAGCGTCGAACAGGGCCAAGAAGCCAGGAGTAGTAGGCGAAGGAGAGAGAGAAAGGAAAGTTTCCAACTATCGTCAAGTTGGCAGACAAAAAAAAAAAAAAAAATGGGAGCACAACTCAATACGCAGCCCGGTGGTCGACGTTCCTGGCCTCCGGCCAGGAGCCTGCGTATCCTACCGTTTCAGTCGCCGACCTCGAATTTAGCGAGAAGTCACTGTCTTGTGGTAAGGGAGATCAGCAAGAGAATTGGGTAAGCTAACATTAAAGTCTCTATAAAAAAATAAGTCGAGAACTAAGGGGAACTAAGGCCTAAAACTGTCTAGAAGTATATTACAACTAGGTTTGTAATATAAGTAAACTGAAGAGGTAAATTGCTAGTCTCTACCACGGGTTAACAGCGTATAGGGAGCATAACAGAGAGGTCAAGGTCGAAATGACCTGTTCTCTTAGTTTAAGGATCGAAGGAGGAGGTAACTCCGACAGCTGAGATACAATTTTCCATTGAGTTGAGCGATATACTTTTGAATATATCTACTAGTGTTGGGACGATTAATCGGAATCGAGAATCGGAAAAATCGGAACTTTTTGGAGTATCGAATGGTATCGGAATCGGAAAAATTTGTGCCTATTTTCCGATTCCAAAAACGTTTCTTTAAATTTTAACTTAATTTTCCATTATTGGTACTAATGATAAATATTCATTGTTTTTAAATTATCACTAAAATTAAAATCACAATAACATCAAAATACGATGTAAATTTATTTTACTTGTATAAAGAAAACAAAAAAATAAACTTTGCATAAATTCTCTAGGTAACCTTTAAAAGAATGCAGTTGATTTACAATGTTCCGAAAAATGCTTAAAAATTAAATAGAACATTTTTGTCAAGAAAAATACTTTCAAACATCATTGATAATAAAATGGTACCCAGAAAATGATGCAACGGAAAATTGGACACCGGAAAATTAGCAACAGAAAATTACGTCAACCATGAGCCAGTCGAGACTGTTGGATCTGGCTGTGCTGTCCATTGAAAACGAGCTTACAAGACAAACAGATTTTGACGATGTCATTGACCAGTTTGCCACAATGAAAACAAGAAAACATTCATTCTAAGACCATAGTATCGAATGTCATTCTTTTGTGTATTGCCATGTTTTGTATTTAGCTGTTCTGAAAGTGAACAGTTGCATTTTAAAAATCTTTTAATTTGAACTGATTATTTTGTTGTATTGGATTTTGTCTTGGATCATACATGTAAACAGTAACGTACCGGTCAGTAGAGTAAAGTAGAGGTAGAGCATGTATGAAAATTTAGCTACAGCTAACCATTCAGCATAGGGTGAATCGGGGTCATTGGGGTGACATTTGAACGGACCGCCCCGGGTGACGTTTACTCTAGCTACGCCACTGCAGGAATTGTTTGGCGTAGTTCGATCGTGAAGTCAGGGAGTGCCAGTTGAAGGATCGTTTGTTAGGGTTAGGTAAGTATTTGTTACCATTTACAGACAATGGTAAGGATCCTTTAAAAGCGATATTTAATCGTTGGAACGGTAGTATTGCTCTTATGAGTATCTCCCACACACTGGTTATGAATTTGGGTTTTAGATATTGACAGGATATGCAGGAGTTTGTTCTTTTTGGGTTTTTTTAACTTTTATTTGGTCTAAAAATAATGGGAGGTTTCTTGCTCTGGTAAAGCGGAAAAGTCGTGCAATGCCAGGGTGACATAATTGAAAATCAGGGAAGGTCTAGCAAGTCTTGCCACGTGTGGGTGATGGCAGAGATACGAGAAAAAATATCGGCAACAATATTCTCAGTTCCTGGACGAGAAATAATACTGAATTTAAACTGGGACAGTTCAATGCGCCAACGGCATATCTTATCACTTTTTATCTTCGACTTCTAGTGATATGGAACACGAAGCTAATACATTTTTGGTCTGATATGAATCAGCAATGTCTGCTAAGTAGAAAATGGCGCCACTTCCGTAGAGCTTCGACTATGGCAGCAGCCTCGTTTTCAAAAGCATGATATTTGATTTCATTAGGATTCAGGGTACGAGAAAAGAATGCAAAAGATTGATTTAAAGTTGCCGCTATGCAATAATTTGGAAATTTTTATTGACAGAAATGTAACATATAAGTGTGAGAAGACATTTTTCAATGACTTCGGTGGTGAGATATGATCTATTGATGTTTGGAGTGGTTGGCGAGACAGACGGTAATTT